ACCTAATCAACAAAGTAACACAGATCATGTACATTTTAACTGCTTTTTTCCAAGCAGCCAGTAGATGGCAGCCAAAGAGCAGCAGTGCCAGTGAAGTTTGTGAGTAACACTGTGAAGGAGTTACTGTTTTACAGGTACATGGATGTTTCATATTCAGACTGCATCATCTCACATTATGTAGTGTATAAATATAGTATCTGTTTCATTTCCTAATACATAATAAAATCAAACAAACACTATAACAGTTATTTGAAACATGGCTGCAGTAACAGGAAAACAGTAAAAGGAAAGTCCTGCATTCACAATCTACTGAAACATAAGAGCAGCGTCATTATTCATTATCTTATCAGCTCGTTAACGGTGATGTATCCATATAAGCAAAGTCATTCTGACTATTTGTTTTGTGGGCCATTTGAAGGTTGGGAACCACTGGACTGAACTAATCAATTGTGTCTACAAACCCAGTTTCAGAAAAGTTGTGACATTGTGTAAACTGTAAATGAAAACAGAATGCAGTGACTTGCCAATCTCAGAAAGCCATCTTTTATTCACATATACAGAAAAATATCAGAAATCTACTATTATCATTTACAGAAACAAAAAGCTCACTTTGAATTTGATGGCAGTGACATGTCTCAAAGTGACATGATCAGCTATAAAAAGAGCATCTCAGAGATGCTCTGCAAAAAACCCCAAAACTGTTTTTACAAATTGTGGAGCAATTTCAGAAAAATGTTCCTCAACATCAAACTGAAAAGAATAATATCATCAAAACATTCCAAGAATCTGGAGGAATTTCTGTGTGCAAAGGATAAGGCTGAAAATCAATAATGGATGCCCATGATCTTTGGGCCCTGCTGCATCATTGCACTAAAGCAGGCATGATTGTTATGAAATCACTGGGAGGGCTCGGGAACACTTCTGGAAATCACTGTCTATGAACACTGTACTGTTCACAAATACAGGTTAAAGCTCTATCATGTGAACATGATGGTGAAACACCGCCATCATTTCTGGGCCAAAGCTCATTTTAAACAGACTGAGGCAAAGTGGAAACTGTTCTGTGGTCAGAGAAATCAACAGAAAGGCTTCAGCAGAAGTAATAGAGTTGGGGTGTTGAACCGGCCTGCCTGCAGTCCAGACCTTTCACTAATTTGGAGCATTATGAAATGGAAAAAAAAACAAACAAACAGACATATGACGGAGAGCCAGAACTGTTGACATATATAATCAAACATAAATGAGACAACTTCCTGCTCCCAAAGGTTTACTACCTGCTCTCCTCAGTTGCTGAGGAGGTGTTAAAAGGAGAGGCGATGCTAAACTGTCTTAAACATGGCCCCATCGCAATATTTTGGAGAACAGTTGCTGCCATCAAGTTCAAAATGAGCTAATATCCATTTGCACTTTCTATGCTCCGTTTATGAGATTGAAAATAATTACATTATTTTTATTTGACATTTTTACACAGCATCAACTTTTTCAGAATCAGGATTGTACGTACATCTGCACATATATTTATTTATTTCCTGTTTTAAAATGTCTCCCTTTGCAGCCATCACACAGATGAATGTGGGTTAAGTTAGATATTTTCCTCTGAAATGCAGGGACATAAAAGTACAAAGTATCATAAATTGGAAAACGTTAGAGTAAAGTTTAAGAATCACCTCTCTGTGATACAAGCCCATGCTGCTGAGGGACCTTCCATGTTGCTCTGAGTGCCTTTCCTCTATTTTCCTCTCATTATTTTATCCTCACTTTTTCCAAGTTCTGCTCAAAGGGGTTTCTCTCCATCTTGTTGTAATCCCTTTGACCATTTAGTGCGGCGTGCCATGAGATGATTTGGTGCTAGATACCATTAATAAACATTAATCGAGCTCCTCGAATATTTACTAGAATGGACTTCAAATGCTCACTTTCAGCTCAATATTATATGTAAGGAAAAACATAAAAAGTGTCCTTAAAGAATAGTACTTCAAAGGAAATACTGGTGATATACTCATCTCACCTTGTAGGTCTGCTTGTCCACGGTCTCCACCACAACCATGTCTCCGGTCTGGTCGATCCTGTAGACTGGAGACTGCAGCTTCACTCGGTCTCCCAGCTCCCTCGCCATGCACTGACTCACCTGATTCGAACCCCCTACAAACTTCCTCTCCTTGA